TAGAATTTTTGCTGCCATGTGACATATGGCATTTACTAACACACTTTGGAAAGCGAACATTCACTTTGCTAACTCAACACTTCTACTCATTAAAATGTATGTTGATGCAAAAAAGAAAAAAAAAAATGTACAGAGCATATCTGCAATAAATGCACATTTTCCTGTATTTTATCCTTTTAAAGAGCCTTCAAGTATGGAAAATACCTGTTGATCTGCCAGAAACGCACTCAGATCTTAACTTCCTATTGTGTGCTGACAATAGGCAGCATTATTGTGGACTTATGTACTGAGTGGTGTCAGCAGTATCCAGTATCTTTTGCTAAAGTACTAAACCATGCCCTTTGTCCGAACTCCTGGAATTATATTTTTTATATGCTACCATTGGGCCAGCTTGGCTTGATGTCAGCATGCATATCTAATATATAAAGGGCCGGTAGGGATGATGTAAATAATTGTAGTAATTTGCTTTACATACAGTGACAGTGAAATGAGTGTCACAATCTTCCAAGTTCTGTGCGTGCATGGGTCACTAGCTCAGTGCCTCTGCCATTCATAGAACACCTAGTATTCTTGTTAGTGAATACAAGTAATTCTCTAGTTGGATGAGGTGGAGAAGAGGGGTGGTGATGTCCAATCACATTGCACCTTCTATTCATTAAAAAAAGGTGTTCTATAGTTAGTGTTTATGTAGGTGCCCAAATGTCAAATCAGTTTTGAAACACAAAGGTTAATGTTAGGTGTTTCATGGGTTAATGGAGTTTTTGCTGTGTTGTGCCTACCCCCTGAAAGTGTCACTTCCTGCCATTGGAGAGGATAAATACAGGAGGAGGCTTGGCCTTGTGGTATTTTTGGACTCTGGAGCTGGACCATACATATAAAGATGTAATCAATGTTTTACAGTTGAGCACCCCCTTATCAGGACACCCCCCCTTCCCTGCAGGCCCACTGGGGACACCACTGGACTGGTCAGACCGGAGCACCACAGCACCTAAATAAGGGGGGATTTATGTCATTAGGCATTCTAGATGTTGCACTGATTTGTGTTCTGTCAGTTGGAAATGAGTATGAACTGTTTGTGAAGGATGTGAAATCACAAGTAAAGAAAATTACTGGTTGCGTTACAGTGTCTGGCCTGTTTCTTAAGAAGAGTGTGCATCTACAGTGAACAAACTTGGGATCGAAGTGTATAACGTAAGGTTAACCCTTTGGGTGATGGAGTGAGTTGAGCAATGGGAAGGAGGAGCATCTAACTTGGAAGTGGGAGCGGTGGTGATTGAGTGAAGGAGGTCCCATAGGTGGGGTGATCTGGCATGTGTTGCACCCTGCCAAGTAGCTGGGCCCTTATTTTGATGCCGGCTGCAAAACAGAACTGGTTCTAAGGACCTGGTCTGGAACCATGGTGTGTGTTGTGGGCTTTTGAATTATGTCTCAAAAACATGATTTATCAAGACATAATCCTATATAACATCAAGTCAGCATAGCCGGATGTTAAGGGGTTAATTTGTCTTGGTTGGAAAGTCGAATGACCATCTAGCTAGAGAAATGTAATGGGTGAAGGGATTGTTTTTCTTTCCTCCTAGAGACAATACTATTTTGAAGTTCTACAGGTGATCAAACACCATTATTCAGACTTCAATAAGCAGGTAAACATATACAAGGTCTGGACATGACAATAGAGGAACCAAACTGATTGTCTGAGAGCTTACCCAAACCTTGTAGAGTGTGATAAACTAACAGACCTCTGAAACTATTAAAATATACTATTGTTCACCAAGGGTGAAAGCATTAACAGTTGTTTACCATGAGTCCAATACAAGGGCCAGGCAAACAGAGAGTTTTTTTTTTCCTACACAGAGAAAATGTTGATTCTGAAACAAAAAGGTGAAATTCAGGACATTTAAGTCTAAAAGTTCACTGTATATAATTACAAAAATATACTACAAAAACAGATTATAAATAAGATGTTATAGATTTTAAACACCACTAAATACTCAGCCAGCAATGGGAACTATATATCACTAATTTGAGTATTGAGATGATGGGAAGTAAGATGTATTATAGACTAGCATTAGTTACATGTCTTATCAGGAAACAAACAGGATGGTACTTCAAGGAGGAATAACTGAATATACACCTATATTCCATGGTCCCTATTTAGAATAGTATAGGTATGATCACTGCTATATCTGGAAAGAGCCGTATATTTAATTCCTGAAATTACCTGAAGATTCCACCCAAGGTATGAGTCATCTCAAATACTCACATTGTTCTATGATACATGACCGCCACCTGGCGGGCAGGTGAGAAATAGCTTATGTACACACATTTCTCAACTAGCCAATCAGGAAGCCTGGTGGGAAGGTATCTTAGAACAATGGACTAGTGGATATAAAAGCCCTTGTGCTTTAAGAAAGAAAAAACCCTCATAAAAACCTCATGGAAAGACCTGATCAAGAGGAAGATCTCTGCTGAACAACTACTCTTCCATCTTTTTAAAACTTCCTAAAACTTTAACTAAATTCCTAAACCTCTAATCTTATAACTTCCTACATTCTCCCCTACTGAGAATCTTTCACTTGCCCTATATATCAGTCCAAAGGCGTTCCACTGCCAGCTAAATCCACGGGAGAGTTGCCTAGTCTGAATTCCGGGTGTGGTGAGATGTTTATTTGATTTTGTATTAACCTATTTTCTCTGTTGTGTGAAATCATAAAATTATCTTAGTGTATCACAACAATATTGGGTAGTTAGATATATGTAGAGAAATCCTATTTTACTGTTAAAAATTGTTTATTGCCATATTATAAATTTTTTCATATTTCATAATTTATTGAATATTAATAACCAGAGTATCATATATCAAGGGCTTGCTTCTTGCAATCCTATGGCCACGGCTTGCGAGAATATAACCTTTGAGATATTCGAAATTATTAATTATTAATAAATTTAATAAATAATCAGATCATTTAAAAAATTGTGATTGATATAATTAGTTAGAAACTTTATTATTGTGTCTTACATTGGTAGGATATATTCTTGATTGTGTGTACCAATATTCATTTATCACCAGTCTTTTGCGTTTTGTGTTAATATATATATAATTTTTGTACATAAATAAATTTTTATATTTATCTATTATAAGGCAAATGTTGTGTGTATGGTACGAAATCATATTGGCTAAAAGAATTCAAGGTATAATAATAAGTGGTGATCAAATTATCAAGGTGTCCAAATTATTGGTTCACTAAATATTTGCCGTATTTTAACGGCTGGAGGCACTGTAATATTTCATCTAAGGGAAAGGGACACGCCCTTTATAAGTAAAATATATCCTTACATAAACCACCACATGTGCAAGACCTTGCAAATATGTGCAGTGGCTCCCCTCAAAGCCTATGGGCTGAAGGTAAGGAAGAGTTAAAAGTGAAGCTGGTGGAGAGAGATGGCGCTCTATGTAATCCCTCTCACATTTACTCTGTAGTCAGTACTGGGACAGGTGTCGATGGCAGGTGTGAAGATGCTGTCCTTCCCTCACCTGGTGTGGCCATGAGGGGTGCTGAACCCACATGATTGTTAGCAACATTGCTAACAGCATGCATTCACCCATGCTAACACTTGGCATAGTTGGCAGGATTCACTATGCTGCATGGGGAGCACAGGATTGGTATATGATCAATGAGTGTGTACAGATGATGCAACTTTTCATGATTGGTGGCTGTAACATGAGAAACAATATAAAATGCTGAGGTGCGGAAGTATTACAACTACAAGTGGTTGGAGCAGGCTGGGGCTACATCACTATGCTATGTCATCAGTTACAAAGAAAGTTGTCAAACTCCGAGCTGAAACAGGTACTCGGTACCCTTGACTTGGGTCTTTATAGCCAAGAGGGCTATGTATTTTGTTATCTTGGGGATAGAGAGGTGCTCCATACTAGATGCAATGGATGTAAGAGGGTTTCCACCTAAGCGCCCGCAGGGTGTGCTGCTCAGGATGGGTGTGCTGCTCAGGATGCTGTTCTTTTCTGTTTGAAAAGGTGGAAGAGGTAGACAAACCACAAGACCTGGACAAGAGTGGAGCAGCAAAGAGTATCCCAGAGGGTACATTGAAAAGCATGTTGAAGAATGCCACAACACAGACAACAGAGAAGCCCACTGTTGATCCCCTGGCACTCATCAGGATGGATCAGCTGGGCTGCACTCTGAATCCCACAAGCTGCTAGGGGTTGAGTAGGTTCCTGGGGGATCCGCCGGAATCTACTGAGAGTGCCAGACTTAGCCTAATGAAGTTGGAGTGGACGTTGGCAGATATGCAGTTTTCTCAGAGTTAAAGTTTACTTTGGCAATTGAGATTGTTGTGGTTACTAACTGCCATCATTTCCCCCCTCTCTGCTTGGCCTACTTGTTGCTGGGGACTGGGGTGAATACCCATCATCCATGGACAGTAGTGATGTGGTGCTTGACTAATGGAGTCTCCCCCTCAAGACGCACCCAATGGTGAGATGGAGCCTCCAGAAGGAGGCTGGACCTTATGATGTCTGGTGAGTCTGGAGTGTGACCATACACACAGAGATGTGATTGTTGTTTTACAGTGGAGCACCCCCTTAATGAGACTCCCACACAGGACTGAGGACTGGACTTTGTTGACATTACCTTTTAGGGGCACCCCTGGACTGTTTAGAATGGAGCACCACAGCTCTTAACCACTTGCCCTTCAGAGGATTTACTCCCCTTCCTGATCAGGCCATTTTTTGCGATATGGTGCTGCGTTACTTTAACTGACAATTGCGCGGTCATACAATGTTGTACATGAATTAAATTTATGTCCTTTTTTTCCCACAAATAGAGCTTTCTTTTGGTGGTATTTGAAGACCGACAATTTGGAAAAAAAAAATTCTTTTTGACTTTTTGCTATAAAACATCCAGTAAAAAAATTTTAAAAAATCAAATTTCATCATAAATTTAGGCCACAATGTATTCTGCTACATGTCTTTGCTATAAAAAATCCCAATACATGTAAACAAATTGGTTTACATAAAAGTTATAGTGTCTACAAAGCGGTATATATATACTGGAATTTTTTTTTTTTATACTAGTAATGGCAGCGATCAGCAACTTATAGCGGGACTACGGGACTGCGGTGAGCATTCTGACACTGGGGGGAAACTGACTAACTGCCACTGACATCCCAATGACACTAATACAGTGATCAGTGCTAATAAAAAACACTGACACTGTACTATTATTATTATACAGTATTTATAAAGCGCCTACATTACAATGGGAGACAGAACAATAGCACTGGGCAGAAAGGGGTTAACATCTGGGGCGATCAAAGGGTTAACTGCGTGTTGTTTTACATTATGTGATGTGTGTGTTTTACTTGGGAAACATGCTGCTGTGTATTTCTCTGGCCAATACCATCCCTACAGTGAAGCACGGTGGTGGCAGCATCATGCTGTGGGAATGTTTTTCAGCAGCAGGAACTGGGAGACTAGTCCGGTTCGAAGGAAAGATGAATGCAGCAATGTACAGAGACGTCCTTGATGAAAACCTGTTCCAGGCGCTCTGGACCTTAGACTGGGGCGACAGTTCACCTTTCAACAGGACAACAACCCTAAGCACACAGCTCATATAACAAAGGAGTGGCTATGGGCCAACTCTGTGAATGTCCTGGAGTGGCCCAGCCAGAACCCAGACTTGAACCCACTTGAACATCTCTGGAGAGATCTGAAAATGGCTGTGCACTGATGCTCCCCATCCAACCTCATGGAGCTTGAGAGGTACTGAAAAGAAGAATGGGAGAAATTTCCAAAAATAGGTGTGCCAAGCTTGTAGCATCATACTCAAAACAACTTGAGGCTGTAATTGGTGCTAAAGGTGCTTCAACAAAGTATTGAGCAAAGGCTGGGAATACTTATGTATGTGGTTTTTTTTTGTTTTTTATTTTTAATAAATTGCAAAGATTTCAAAACTAACTTCTTTCACGTTCTCATTATGGGGTATTGTTTGTAGAATGTTGAGGGAAAAAATGAATTTAATCCATTGTGGAAAAAAAAGACTGTGACATAACAAAATGTGTCAAAAGTTAAACACTGAATACTTTCTGGATGCACTGTATATACGTGATTTTTTGCTGCCCTGTAGAAATACTTCTGCTATAGTACAGAGGGGAAATGGTTAAGTAAAAGGGGACTTATGTCATTTGGCATAATGTATGTTGCATCGATTTGTGTTCTGTCGGTTGAGTAAGAACTGTTTGTGAAGAATGCGAAATCACAAATAAAGAAGTTACTGGTTAAGGTGAAGTGTCTGGCCTGAATCCAAAGAATAGTGTGCAGCTACAGTAAATATATTAGACCAGGGGTCCTCAAACTACGGCCCGCGGGCTACATGCGGCCCGCCGAGAGGACATTTATCCGGCCCGCTGGCAGGGGCGTATTTGCCGCGAGGAAGGGACGCTAAGTACAGGGGGGGCGGCACGGGGCTGCTGTATCTTACCTGGCTCCGTGTCCCAGTCCCACGACGATCCAGTCCAGGAAGCGCTGCTCCTTCATTCACTCCGGCCACTCCCTCACTCGATGTTTGCACTGCCGCTCGGCTCTGCCTCCTCACCGGTGATTGGGTGCCAGAACTATAGCTCAGGAAAGGCACACAGGCGGCCAATCACCTGCGAGGAGGCGGAGCTGAGCGGCCCTGCGAACATCGAGTGAGGAGAGGCCGGAGTGAAGAAGGACAGCTGACAGGTAAGTGTGCCGTGCAGATGGTGCTGCTGCAATCAGGTATGCTGGCTGCAGCAGCACCATGCTGGAACAAGGGTCAGCAAGTTAAGTGTCATTGGTGTCAGTGGGAGGAATAGTGCCCCATCATTGGTGTCACTGATACTAATGATGGGGCATTATTACTCCCACTGACACCAATGATGGGGCACTATTCCTCCCCCCACTGACACCAATGATGGGGCACTATTCCTCCCCCCACTGACACCATTGATGGGGCACTATTCTTCCCCCCTACTGACACCAACGATGGGGCACTATTCCTCCCCCCCCACTGACACCAACAATGGGGCACTATTCCACCACCCACTGACACCAACGATGGAACACTATTCCTTCCCCCAATGACAACAATGATGGGGTACTATTCCTCCCACTGACACCAATGTTGGGACACTATCCCCCCCCCACTGACACCAATGACGGGGCACTATTCCCCCCCACTGACACCATTGATGGGGCACTATTCTTCCCCCCTACTGACACCAACGATGGGGCACTATTCCTCCCCCCCACTGACACCAACGATGGGGCACTATTCCACCACCCACTGACACCAACGATGGAACACTATTCCTTCCCCCAATGACACCAATGATGGGGTACTATTCCTCCCACTGACACCAATGTTGGGACACTATCCCCCCCCACTGACACCAATGACGGGGCACTATTCCCCCACTGACATCAATGACGTACTATTCCTCCCACTGACACCAAAGATGGGGCACTATTCTTCCTACTGACACCATTGTTGGGACACTATCCCCTTTCCCCACTGGCACTACTGACGGGGCACTATTCCCCCCCCCCACTGACACCAACGATGGGGCACTATTCCTCCCCCCACTGACACCAACGATGGGGCACTATTCCTCCCCCCACTGACACCAACGATGGGGCACTATTCCTCCCCCCACTGACACCAACGATGGGGCACTATTCCTCCCCCACTGACAACAATGATGGGGCACAATTCTTCCCACTGACACCAATGATGGGGCACTATTCCTCTTACTGACACCAATGATGGGGTACATTTCTTCCCACTGACACCAATGATGGGGCACTATTCCTCCCACTGACACTAATGATGGGACACTATTCCTCCCACTGACACCAATGATGTGGCACTATTCCTCCCACTGACACCAATGATGGGGCACTATTCCTCCCCCCACTGACACCAATGATGGGGCACTATTCCTCCCCCCACTGACACCAATGATGGGGCACGATTCCTCCCCCCACTGACACCAATGATGGGGCACGATTCCTCCCACTGACACCAATGATGGGGCACGATTCCTCCCACTGACACCAATGATGGGGCATGATTCTTCCCACTGACACCAATGATGGGGCACGATTCTTCCCACTGACAACAATGATGGGGCACGATTCCTCCCACTGACACCAATGATGGGGCACGATTCTTCCCACTGACACCAATGATGGGGCACAATTCTTCCCACTGACACCAATGATGGGGCACGATTCTTCCCACTGACACCAATGATGGGGCACATTTCCTCCCACTGACACCAATGATGGGGCACTATTCCTCCCCCTGACACCAATGATGGGGCACGTTTCTTCCCACTGACACCAATGATGGGGCACTATTCCTCCCACTGACACCAATGATGGGGCACTATTTTGCTCCATAAGACACACTTGGGGGGAAATGTATGTGCGTCTTATGGAGCGGCCGGCCCAGTTTTCCCGCCGCCGTTGTATGTCCGCACTTCTCTGGTCATCTCCTGTACTGTGTCCGCATTTGTTCATAGTTTTTCTTTTTTAAACTATAGTCCGGTCCTCCAACAGTCTGAGGGACAGTGAACTGGCCCCCTGTTTAAAAAGTTTGAGGACCCCTGTATTAGACAAAGTAACTTTAGGTTAACCATATGTTTGATGGAGTGAGTTAAGAAACTGGAAGGAGGAGCAGCCAGCTAGAGAGTAGGAGTGGTGGGGGTTGGGTGATAGGGGGCAGAGCAGACAACAGTGACTGACAGTCACTGCTCTCTGCTCAGAGTGGCTGTGAGAACTCCGCGATCAGCGGTCATGTGATTACTGAGTTTTCACACTTAGTGCTGGCAGGGGACAGATACAGGATTGGACCAATGCTGCATATACCTAAGTATGATTGGGGAAAAAAAAATGAAATCTCATACTTCTCTTTTAAGTGTGAAGTACTGGTAGAGAGAGACACCACTTTACCTTATAAGACTCTGGGACAGGTATCACTGGCAGGTGAGAAAGCACTGTTCTTCCATATGTGGGGCCCTGTGTGATTATATGGCCTCCGGCCTTGAGGGGGCGCTGGATTCACATGATTGACAGCAACATTGCTAACAGCATACAATCAACCATGCTAACAAGTATGCAGAGGAGAAGCGGTTCACACAGACCCTGGATTGCAGTTCTCACTGTTTAGACTACAATAGTTATCACAGCATCCCTAGTGGCTACCTAAATATTAGATATGCCTACTTACATTAAGCCAAGCTGGACCAAGTTAAGTATGCAAAAGATTTAATAGCTGGAGTTCATAATAATCTCTAAAAAAGCCTTTTTCAACCAGGGTGTCTTCAGGTTTCTTCAGGGGTGCTCTTGCAAAATGCCTAAAAATTTATCACAAATAGAGTACTAGCCAGTGGATAGATGAAGCCTGCCTTTTAGTTACACAAAGCCACAGGTTTTCATTGTCCACAATTACAGTCTTCCAGTCACCAGAGTACTAGCAACCAATGACATCTTTAATTGATAAGGAGGACATCAGGTGCCTGCACAGCATCCTTGCTTGGCCCTCCCCTGCCCCTCTCTGCCAGCACTGGGGTCACATTAGCTGAGTGAGGGACAGAAACTGAAGGAGAAGAGAAACATTGGAATACTAGTCAGTACCAGTGTGCAAAGGTGTATTTGCTTTGGAAGAATAAATCACCTCTCTTAGGTGTCCTATGTGTGTGGATATTGCTCCGTTATGTAAAACGATTAGCTAGTTATTTACATTTTAGAATGGAGTGTCTCGAGATATGTGCACAATTTTAAAGGGTGCCTTGACTGAAAAAGGTTGAGAACCACTGATCTAAAGCATATGCACTAATTTTCTTTTAGTCCAAGATAAAGTGGGCAACAAATCAGAGAGTCTATAAATCTCAGTATGACAGACAATCATTACAGAACAAGTCCACCAAAAAAAGAATTGAAATTGAAACGCCACATCACTGCAAAGAGGTCCAGATACAACTTTATTCCATTAAAGGTCTTGTCAAACAAGCTGCTAATTGGGCCTGTGCAGGGGCGGACTGACAACTCATGGGACCCCGGGCAATAGGGGATCATGGGGCCAAGGGGCCAAGGGGCCAAGGGGATTCATGAGAAAGCCAATGTTAGCTACCAGGGGCATCTCATGGGGCCCCCTACTGACCCCAGGCCCTCGGGCAGTGCCCGAGTGCTAGAAAGGTCAGTCCGCCCCTGGGCCTGCGCTTTTAATTTACATTGGAAAAAATACCATTGTAGGTCCAGTTCACTTCTGGTGAAGTGGGGCA